AGTTTCTTGGCTTTGTTGCCCAGGCTGAGTGAGTGCCGTGGCATAGCCTAAGCTCACAGCAACCTCAAAACTTCCTGGGCCTCAAGCGATCCTCCTGCCTCAGGAGTACAGGCATGTGCCACCATGCCTGGCTAATTTTTTCTATATATATTAGTTGGCCAATTAATTTCTTTCTATTTATAGTAGAGACGGGGTCTTGCTCTTGCTCAAGCTGGTTTTGAACTCCTGACCTCAAGCAATCCTCCTGCCTCGGGCCTCCCAAAGTGCTAGGATTACAGGCGTGAGCCACCGCACCTGGCCTCACCTTGTGCTTTTACATTGCCTTTCCCTGTGCCTGGAACGTCCTGCCTCCTTCTTCATTCAACAGGTATTTACTGAGCACCTAGCAGATGCCAGACACTGTTCTAGGTGCTGGAGATTCAGCAGTGAGTAGAACACAGCCCTTACTCTCATGATGTCTACATTCTAGAGGGAAAGACAGATAAGAAATAATAACTAGTGTCAGGTGGTGAAAAGTGCTATAAAGAAAAACAAAACAGGATGGGAGATTAAGAATGACCATTTTAGCCGGGTTTGTGTTCTACGGCCTGTAATCCTAGCTCTCTGGGAGGCCGAGGCGGGGCGGATTGCTCAAGGTCCAGGAGTTCAGATAACCCAGCCTGAGCAAGAGCGAGGACCCCGTCTCTATATAAAATAGAAAAGAATTAATTGGCCACTATATAATAAAAAAAATAGCCGGCATGGTGGCGCATGCCTTGTAGTTCCCAAGCTTACCTCGGAGGGCTGAGACAGGGGAAGGGATTGGGCTCGGAGCCCAGGAGTTTCTGAGGTTGCTGTGAACGCCTAGGCTGGACGCACGGGCCACTTCACTCTAGCCTGGGCAACCCAAAGCGGAGGACTTCTGTTCTCAAAAAAAAAAAAAAAGAATGACCATTTTAGATAGGATGGGACTCTGGTAAGGTACTATTTGTACAAAGAGGTGAATGGAGTGAAGGAACAAGCTCTGCAGGCACCTGGGAAAGGACCTTCCTTCCTGGGAAAGAACAGTACAAAACCCCTGGGGCAGGAACATGCCAGGCAAATGTGAGAAAGGCAAGAAGGCCAGCGTAGCTACAGCAAAGAGAGTGAGGGCAAAGCTCCGAGATGATCAGAGAAGTCAAGTGGAGCATGGCCTTGTAGGCCAGATTTGGGTGCTTCACCCCAGCTCGACTCCTTTCATCCTGCAGTGTTGATGCAGACGTGCCCCCTGAGTGAGCCGTGCTCCACCCCTTCCAGCACTTGCCATCTACACCGTGTCTAATTGACTCCACTTGCCTGGATCCACCACCACACTTCACCTTCCAGCCCTGTGTTTTATAGACAGCCCACCACATTCAGAAAATTTATCTCAAAACTTTATTCTTTTGTTCTGATTCCATACCCTGCAAGCAACTTCCTGATTACTAGATTGGTTTCTCAGTAACCATGGTACCAGAAAGGGGATGCCTTGATAGTGAACACACACATTCTGGTCATTAGAAATTACACACGCATGCGCACCATTGTATACTGATGAACGGGCACTGTCATTCACACATCAGCCTCTTTTAATAGGTAAGTGTGACTCAACTGGTGGGGAAATGGCCCAATTCTGGGTCATCATGACCCAAGGATGACCCACATGAGCAGCCCAGCAGAAGCCCCAGATGCCCCCTCTGCCTCACACTCAGCCCACCTTCCCTATTCCAAATGGCAGCCCCAACACCCCCACCTGTCCAAGCTCAAACCCCTGGCTTCACCTCTGAGAGCTCCCACATCCCCCACATCCAAAAGTCCTAGAACTTCCACCTTGTAACTATTCTTTATCGATCCCCTCATCCCTGTTCCCAAGGCCACTCTATAGTGCAGATCTTCACCACCCTTCACAGGGATTTGGGTTTCAACTCCCTAAACCAGTCTCCCCACCTTCCACCCCTCCACCGTCTTCTATCTCTTCTTGCTCCTTCCAAAATCACTTTCCACTTGGTCACCAGAATTCTCCCTCTAACCAAATCTGATCATTTCACTAGCTCACATGCCCCTGCTTAAAATCAATAGCTTCCCCCTATCTTGAAGATAAAGCCACCTGTTCAGGCACCCACCTGCCCCAGGCTGTCTCCTGGCAGCCCCTCTCCCACCCCACATTCCCACCATACCAACGACCTGGAATTCTCTGAACAATAGGAGCCCTTTTGCACCTCCACATCTTTGCACATGCAGTTTCCTCTGTGAGAAAGATCCCAGGACACAGCTATGTACCCTTCCAAAATTCAGCTCAGACACTATGTTCTTGGTGAAGTCTTCCTAAGCTCCCTACAAAAATAAAGTTCCATTCGCTGCTATGGTGCCTCTGTCACTGCACTAATTACACTGCATGCCAATTACTCATTAATACGTCTGTCTCCCTCTGGACTATTAGTTCTTGGATGGCAAGAGCCACACATTATTCTTCATTTCCCAGCACTAAATAAAGCACCTAATACACAGCACGCACTAAATACGTGTTTTGTGAGGGAGGGAATGCATGAAAGCTCTATATTGAAGCCCTTCTCTTGCTAACTCTGAAGATGTAGCCCAAGTCCTCACTTAGACTAACCAGAGTGCCCTCCTACGTCTCAGCAACTGGCTTGTGTTAGGAGTTCATTAAAGAGTGGCTAAAGGAATAAACCCATGAATCATATGTCACTAAACTCTTAACAAACTTTGTTGTCCTTCTGAACCTTCTTCAGATCTCTGTGTCACTCTGAAGTTATTAAAGATAGGGCAAAGTCCAGATACTACCTGTGCAGTAATATTTATCTAACCGCAACTGCTCACGGGAAAGCCAAGCAGCAGCCATGAGAGACAGTAACTTTAAACATAATAATGATAATAATAACCAATACCTTATACTTGAGCAGTGATTTATGGTGTTCACTGAATCTCATTGCATTCCCACAGCAGCCTGGAAGGAAACAGTCACTGCACCTTGCCTAGGGTCACATAGCTATTGAGCCCAACCTCCACCAAAGTCTGGTGCACTTTTCACTCTACTAGAGCTATCTCAAAGGTATGCCACACACCCATGCACAAAACTCTGTGCCTTTTACTAACTTGGGGAGCTCTGCAGACTAATCATAACCATGGCTACTTTTCACGTATTCTCACAAGGGTGTGCATGGGTGTACAAGGGTTTGTATGTCTCTATTCCCAAATTAGGAGCAGAAAATTTTAGAGGGGTGACTAGTAGAGGTAGGCACAATGGCAGAAGCAAGTAACAACAGCTGTCAGAGATGACACAGATAAAATCCATAAAAGAATAAAACCTAAAGAACTGAAGTCAGACCAGCAGTCCGATGTCACTGAGGAAGCAAACATTCTTGCCTACCCCAGTGGCCTGGCAAGACCTCACAGTCATGCAAGAATAGACATGTGCAATGGTGACTCTGAGTCACCAAAAGAAATGTCAAATTATGAAAGCAAGCAAACACATCATTGGTTTTAAAGAGGTTTTAGTAAAGATGGTAAATCAATAGAATCTGGTGCTTAAATGAACCCAGCCATATTGGAAATATTACTTAGATGGAATGATCTTTCTCTACACAAGATATGTAACTATATGCCCACATTTTAAAGGATCCCAAGACCAATAGATCCTAAATAGGTTGTTTCACCAGTAAACAACCTATCAGATCATCTGCAAGTGATGCAAGAGAAATTACAGATATCACTAAAGACCTCAGGGCAAACCCCCTTCTTACAACACAAGGCAGTGCCTCTTACCCCTCCCTAACTGTTGCTGTGCATGACAAACAGTCCATATGCAGAATCCAAGCCAGACACATGGACACACAAAACACAAGAGAACCCCACAAAAGACAGCCAGTTCTCTGCAAAAGAGTAAAACCAGGGGGGCTGGAGAGGAAGCTGAGGAGTAAATGGGGCAGTGGAGAAACTGCAAAAGAAAAGGACATCAGCTGATTGGAGAGGGGTGATCTACCGAGCAATTGCACCTGGTACAAAATTCCTGCACCCCAAGAGGACTGACAGACTGTCTAAGCTTCTCCAAAGTTGTAGGGTGGAAGGCAGCTCCAAGGTCCTAGGGTCTCCCAGGCTGGAAGGGCATTTTTCAAGAACAGAGACACCTGAGGATGGGGCTATCAAGGATCACCCTCTCAGCACCTGCAGGGTGGCTTTGCTGAATGTACAGATTTAAATAATATTTTATTTATGAGACCGATTAAAAAGTCAAGGTGGGCCAGGTGCAGTGGCTCATGCCTGTAATCGTAGCACTCTGGGAGGCCAAGGCAGGCGGATCACTCAAGGTCAGGAGTTTTAAGACCAGCCTGAGCAAGAGTGAGACCCCCGTCTCTACTAAAAATAGAAAGAAATTAATTGACCAACTAAAAATATATAGAAAAAATTAGTGGGCATGGTGGTGCATGCCTGTAGTCCCAGCTACTCAAGAGGCTGAGGCAGAAGGATTGCTTGAGCCCAGGAGTTTGAGGTTGCTGTGAGCTAGGCTGATGCCACGGCACTCACCCTAGCCTGGGCAACAAAGTGAGACTGTCTCTCAAAAAAAAAAAAAAAAAAATAGTAGATGGGTAAGTACAATAGAATGCCACTGAAATGCTGGGAGTAAAAGCACACTGTAGAATTATATGTAGAACAGTATGATCTCATTTTTGTAAAAGAACAAAATTACACCTCTTGAAAGACCAAGAAAAATAATCAAGAAGATCATGCAAACTACTAATGGTGGAAGCTCGGGAAAAGGTGGGTTGTCTTCTTTTTTGTTACACTGTAGTACTGTTTGAATTTTCACACTAAGCATATATTAATTTAAATAAATAAATATGTGTGTATGTGTGTATATATACACACATATGTATGTTGTCAGAGGCATTCCTTTCCATCTCCTGCTTACTCCCCGGCTGGACTCCCACCCCATCTCTGCCAGCCCCAACCCTGTCATCTCCTGCCACATCCCCAGCCCCACTTACAGATGCAGGCAGCAGCCAGCAGGCGAATGGCAGCGTAGGGGCTGAAGCAGCTTGGGAAGAAAGGCTGCACCATGTAGTTGGCAAAGGTGATGGCAATGATGGCCTGGCTGGTGGGCTCGATGATGAGCAGGGAGGTCCAAAGTCTGATGAAGGCAAGGAATTCTCCGAAGGCCTCCAGGATGTAGGCATAGCTCGCCCCAGATTTCTTAATGGTGGTGCCCAGTTCCGCATAACAGAGGGCCCCAAAGACAGAGAAGAGGCCCCCAACAGCCCAGATGACCAGGGAGAGGCCAAAGGAGGCACTGTACATGAGCACCCCCTTGGGGGAGACAAAGATGCCCGAGCCAATCATGTTCCCCACAATCAGGCACACACCGTTAAGCAGCGAGATCTCCTTCTTCAGCTTTACCTGCTTGGACCCTGGGCTGGCCCCATCACCCAAAGGGGAGGCATCCGCCTCGTGCTGGGAGGCCACTTCATATTTAATGCTGTCAGCCATGGTGGGGAAGGAGCAGAAAACCTTCACCAGCTTCCTGGCATTGCCCTCTAAGGAAGAAAGATGATGATATATTTTGGATGGTTGGCAATTACGTAGAACCTCTACCCAGCCACGGGGTAGACATGGACAGTCCACCCACCACTTCAGAGACCTCTCTCTTGCTTCCCACCTCCAAATGACCCTTCTCCAGCTGGCTCATCAGAACGACCCCCACCTGAGTTTTAAGGGAAGGCACTCTCCCCAGAGAGAAAGCATTTGCCTCTCATCATTAGGATGATGCTGCCCACCTGGCTTACTAAATGGAAAACTAAATCCTGGTCCTATCTGGGCCTGCTGTGATACCAGCATGGGGGCAGCTTGGCCACTCCCAGGGATAACCATAGTGGTTTGAGCCTGAGTTGTCAGCCATACCCCAAAAAGGTCTGTCTTCCCTCCAATTTTAATTTCAGCTCTCACCTGTGCTGAGATGCAACATTAGGAACCCACCTTGCAAGCAGCTGATTTGTGAAATCTGTTCATAGTACTACTGCTCTTTTCCCCACAGTCTCTACTCTGGCACGCTTACAGGCTTCAGAGATCTGCTGGAAACCCACAACTACCCACTATTCAGGGAATATCCCCTAACCCCCTGCTGGAGTCTTCAGCCCTGGGCAAAGCCCAAGCAGCCCCATCCTACCCTGAAAGAAGGCAAACTATTCTCTTTTCTGCTGCCTTGCCTTGTCCAGATGCCTTTCCCAATCTCTAGTATTCTGGGCCTCCTGCCATCAAATCCCTCACATCAGCATAGCTGTAGCACCCAAAAAAGTATGAATGAGAGAAGGATGATCCAAACGTAGCAGAACCTAGGAGTGTTTAGAGGCAGCTGATGACTGCTCCCACCCCAGAGTTGCCGCTGGAAAGACACCACCCAAAGCCAAGGCAAGGAAACAGCTGAAGCCGGCAGCAAATGCTGGGAAACAGCAGGAGACTGCTGAGAAGAAAAGAGAAGTAGCTAGTCAAGCAAGTGGAGAGGTACTAGGGCAAGAGGCACTGGCAGACAAAGTGACCAGACACTGCAGAGCAGCAAACAGGGTAGCAGGGCCAGTGGGGATGAGGGGAGAGGGTGGGACTCACACTCACTCCCTGGTCCTGGACAGTAGCAGGCTCCCACGGCAGAGGCCAGCAGCAGTCAGGGAGAGAGATGCCCTCCAGGATCCAGGATCTGTGGTCCAGTGCTCTTCCTTTTCAGCCTGCAATAAAAGGGAAGGCCAAAATGCCTGTGGATTTAAGTAAAGAAGGGTGGAGGGGAGAGGCAGCAGGCAAAGGAAGAGGTGAGGGAGGGGAAAAGGAGTGTTAAGTAACCGTCTGGGTCCAATGTTCACTGGCCCTTCACATCTGCAAAAGGGGCAGCTAGCTCTTGGCTCAGCACTTTCTGTGATAAGAAGGCACTCTCAGGAATCTCCTTTGTCAGCTCTGCTCTGGGACTGGGGACCCTGAAGAAATGACAGTCAGCTGGGTGCAGTTTCTGTAGTCCTTGAGGAAGTGTCCTAAAGCATGTTAGCCAGGACAGGGCAGTGGCCCAGAAGGAATGCACAGCACTCTCTCTGGGTCCTCTGTGCTCCACCCTAGCCTCTCTCTCTCACTCCAAGCAATTTTAAAAGGCAGGAAGGTTGCACAGTGTGACACAAAGGCTTGTTCACATGCTGAGATTAGAGGAAGTATAAGAGCAGTCCCTGCACCCGTGATTAGGCGTCCTAAGAGAAGAACTCTGAACACTTCCCCATGCAGAGAGATGGGTGGCTGCCCCTAAACTTGGGCCAGTACCCCAAAGTCTGAGACTAAAGCTACTTCCAAGGAAATGAGGTTAAGAGATCAAACCTCTAACTGCATCCCCACCCAACACACCTGCCCTTTTACCCTTAAGAAAACATACCAAGATCTTTGGGATAAGCATAAATTCCTATAAATACCTTCCTCAAATACAAGTTTACTCCACTATCATTAAAAATAAGTGAGGAAATAATATTTCACTAAGTTATCTTGGACAGACAGGCCCAGAACACCCAGAAGCAGCTGGACATTTTCTGGAAATCATATAGTTTATTCTCTTTATAGTCTACTTGAAACCTGATATTCTGGGTCTCTTCCAACAGAAATATACCCTAAACCTTCTGAAACCCAACTGTCTGTCCCTTCTCCCTAGCCCTCTTTGGTTATTCTATAACCAGAGAGTAGAGATCTAAAAATTCCTGGGAGATTTATCTCTACCCTATATCCTCCCATTCTGGTCCCTTAAACTTTTAATTTAAACTAGGAGGGGAATCCCAAGACAGCCTCACAAAAATCTGAAATCCATCCAGGGGAGACTGTCCTTTTGCGCCAGGACCCCACACACACCCCTAAAATGCTCCTGTAATAAATAATAGCATGTATTGAGCACTTACCCAGGCCAGACACACCGCTAAGCACTTAACCACCTTATCTCATCAGACCCTCCCTGCATCCCCTTAAAACAGGTACTAAGTCACTAGCCAGGGTGACTTAGTAGAAGTAGAGAAGGGGGTGAGTTAGCTAGATTTCAGAGCTCACACACTCTCAGCACAGAACTATGCTATCTCCCCACCTCCCCACGCTCTAACCAGCCCCAGTCACCAGGAGGCCTTCCTTTTAGACAGAAAAGCACTACAGCTGGCTTCCTACTGAATTACCTGGGGCAGGATGTGATTAGATTAAAAAGAAAACCTCTGCCACTGAGCCTAGGCTACCAACAAAGCTTGTTCATCTCTCCTGGCTACTCCTTCCCTTTCTCATTCTGTGAGAGGATGAGAGGCGATTGCAAGTCCCCTTGGCAGTGCTGCTATTGCTAGGGTGCCCATTTCTAAAGCAAACAAAAACACATGCAAACACACCATCAAGCCTGCCCTTTTAAGACCAAATTCCTTGGCACCATGGGGTAGGCATGCATCCTCGTGTGATGTAAAGAAAGAAAGGAAGGCCCAAGGGAAGAGAAGTGTGGTGGGATCTGAAACTAAAGACCCCTTCACCACATCTTGAGCCAAAACTGCCTGAGGACGAAAGGCACACTCCAGCAAACAGCATGTCCTAGTGGTCGCACCAGGAAGTGCTATGAGTGGAATCTCCTTTCTAGCCTGCTTCAGTGGCCCCCGCACCAACTGAGCAAGAAAGACTGCCATTCACGGAGAAGGTGAAGCCCCTCTTTTCTCAACCGCTGCCTAGCACCGTGGACAGGAAGGCACCATCTTTGGCAGCTCACATTCCTCCCTAAGACCCTGGGTCTCGGGGTAAGGCTTCTGCCTTTCAGGCAGCCTGGGACCAGCAGCACCCCTAGGATCTCCTGAGGGTGCTCTCCCACCGCAGGCTTTACAGGAGAAACCTCATGATAAAACAGCGCCCCTTGTCATCCTCCCCTGTCTGAGGTGCACTATCTCCGAGGGCCTCGTGGAGGTTAAGGCAACACAGTCATCCCACAGCCTGTGGAACAAATTCCAGATTCAGAAGTAGGCAGCAGGGTCCTCAGCAGCAGTGCCTGACAAAGCAGGCTGTGGAGCCCCTCGCCCTGACCCTACCCTCCAATGGCAACACCAAAACACACTTCCTCCAGGAACTAGCACACAGTTCAGGGTCCTGGTTCTTAGTCTAGCTCAGAGAGCTACTGTGAGAACACACTTTCTCCCCCAGAAACCCCATGTCCTGCCTTCCTGTCTCCAGTTGTACTGCCTCCCCTGACAACAGAAACAGAAAACAGATAAACTCTAGTATGGTTTGATTTCCCCATTACTCCAAGCTCAGAGCTCAGCTCCTCCCTCCCCGGTTCTCCATTTGTTTTTCTATATTCCACTGTGTCTAAGACAGTCTCTTTTAAACAAACAAAAAAAAATGTGAAAGAAGAAAGAAATTGTTTACTCCAGTGGCAAGGGCTTCTATTAACGAAGGGATGAAGTCCCTGGGCAGAGAGTTCTCCCCAGGGAGGGCAAGGGCTGGGACCAGGAAACACGCGGCTCTTGGGTCTCCGTTCAGCCGGTTTTCAGGACTCGCTCCATCCTCCTCCTGCACTTCCCCTCTCTCCACCCCGTTGTCCCTCCTCTCCCACCTCTTACCTGTCCCTTGACCTTTGGGCAGGTGCTGGGAGGAGAGATTACCAACACGCAGTGAGGGGTGGGAGGGGAAAGTGCTAGTTAGGGGAACCAAGGGTATGGCTCCTGCTGCAGCAGCTGTTGACTCTGAGGAGCAGAAAAGAGAGGGTGACGGGACTGAAATGCAAAACAGGAAAACACATGTGCAACTCTGGCCGGCAGCGGGGAGGGGCCAGGGGACGGGGACGGGCTGGAGCTGGGACTGCCTTGTCAGACCCAGAGGGCCTCCACCCCTGCCAACCTCCAGGCACCTTCACTCGTCTCAGCACCTCCTCCTCCCTACCTCAGTCCCCCAGTTCTTGTTACTGAGCACTTCATCTTTCCCCATGATTTACAGTGCCCTCTGATGTCCCTTAAAAATCCCTTCTCCCCCTCATTCCATTTCCCACTCATCTCCCACTCCCGTACTATCCTTAGTCCTTCAGAGGGTGTATGATCCCATGAGTCGGGCAAAAAAACTCTGCAGTCCCATTTCAAGAGTTTCAGTGCCATTTCAGCCCCTAAAGCAAGCCAATGAAGGCCACCTGTAGCGCTACAGCCATGTGCACAAACACCAAGCAAGCCCACTCACAGCGCAGATCCCCAACTGGTTCAGGTAACATTGATGTGTCATCAGGTAAGAGCCAACTGGGCCTTGGCACCCAGAGCAGGCTAAGGAGTTGGCAGCCCTTCAAACCAATTGTTATTTAAAATCTGTTGAATGTTGACTTGGCAGAAGTGGAGCAAATACTGATTTTCCTCAAATAAAAACTGGGTAAGCCTCTTTATATTCCAAGTTAGAGATTATTGCATAAATTCATCACATGCAATATTCTGAAGCAGACAAATTCTTGGTAGGCGTATTAAACCACTTATAGTGTAGACAATAGCATAAATCTCTGTCCTCAGGGAGCAGCATTTCACAGTGCATCACACATTTTCAGAATTCCAGCTGTGACTGATGCCTTTAGGCAACTGTCAGCTGGCTGGACTCTGAGCTACACCCTGCAACTTGCACCTGTGTGTTGCAAAATTACCCCAGAGACAGGTGTTCCAGGTAAGGAGTTGTCAAGTATTCTAAGTCACTGGATGGGAGCCAATTTACATTTCCACAAGACATAGAAATCAGAATTCCCTGGCACCAAATATCTGAATTATTCCAAGGATAATTTAGTGCCCTGTAAACCCAGGCTACTACCCAGCTGGTTGGCCCCTTAATTGCACTCTGGGGCCAGGTCCAAGTTGTGAGGAAAGTCCTAGGAAAAGAGACAAGAAAGCCGTCCCTGTCTGGCACTGGCCCCTTCTCTCACCCACACTCCACTCCAGCCACACTGGACTCCCTGCTGTGGCCACCAGCAAGTACTTAAGCTCCCACCTCAAAGCCTTTGCAATCCCTGCCTCCCTGGAATGTTCTTCCTAGTGATACTGTTCATTCCCAGTGTTGATTTTTTGTTGTCACTTCCCCCACTAGAATGTAAGCATCAGAAGAGCTTTGTTCACCACTGCATCACACAGTGCAAGGCTCATACAGGCAGTCAATAAATATTTGTTGGATGAATAAATTAATCAATGAACAATGTTGATTCTCCTTGACTGACTTCCCGGCAGGCTGGACTGCCAGACAGTCCTTGAATTTGCTCTCCAGGCCCCCTGTGTCGCTGCTGCCCTGCCTCCTAAGCAAGGAGTATTTGGAGAAGTACTTATTTTTTTGGACAGTAATGGGTTGAAGGGAAGAAAAGTATGTTTTTCACAGTTTTACTGGGAAGCCTAGAATGGCTTGAAATGGATTTTTTGTTTCATTAATGGGAAAACAAAGACAAAACAAAAAGTCCCTTATCTCCGGGAAGTTCTTGGCTGTTGTGTCCCACACCCAGGCTCAGGTGAGCGGTCTAGGTGCAGCGTGGAGGTGGCGAGAGGGAAGTGCCGGACTACAGCCGCCAATGGGTTAAAGGGCAGAGAAGGCAGAGAGAGGAGAGCGCTCAGGTTCACACAAATGCAGGTGGGCTCAAGAAGAGCGGAACCGTAAACCCCTAAGTGTGAACTCTTCTCCCCGCACCCCGCGCCGCCCGTCGCCCACCGCCAGCGCTCCCCTCCCCCGCGATCCTCGCTGGCCTGTCGCTCGCCCCTTCCCATCCCCCCTCCGCCCCCGCCCCGCCAGCTCGCGGCGCTCACCTTTGCCCCTTCCTCCCACATTCCCTCCCACCCACCCACTCCGGCTGTCTCCGGGCCCCCGCCGTTTCCCTTGTGTCCCCACTGCCCTTGGGCCCCGAGTTCCGTGTCCCCGCCCCAGGCGCAAGCCTTCCTTCCCGAGCCCCGACCACCCACCGTCCGCCCTCAGGGCCCCTTAGAAGAGCTGGCTCGCCCCCGACGTCCAGGTCTGGCAGCGGAGCTCGACAGGGACTCTGCCTGGGGGACCAGGACCTCACCCCACGGGGCGTCCCTTCGTTCTCTCCACCTGCCCAAGCAGCCCCCGCCCGTCCCCGACTCCAGGAAGCGCTAGAAGAGGGGCTGTGGTGGGTGCAGGCGAAGGGAGCAAAGGTCCGAGAACCGAGAGGCCTCGAAGCCCGCTCCCCTGCGCTCTCCTCGCTCCGGCACAGCTTCACTGCCCCGGGGAAACGAAAATGACCGCGGATACCCTTAGAGACTAGTCCTTCGTCCCAGGAACGCTCAGCTTCCTCTTCCCTCCCTCCCCATCCAGCTCGCGCAGACGGCCAGACGGGGGTCTGGGCGAGAGCCCCAAACCCCGGCAACCCGCCTCCAGCCCGGAGACGCCCGGCTGCAACTCCGTAGGGCCCCCAGCCTGGGAAGCCCCTTGGGGGGCGGGGGGGGCAGGGGAGGGGCGGCGCCTGCTTGGAGCCGGGGGAGGGGTCTTCCGGAAAGCCGTCTCTTGCACTACAGGTCCGCGACTCCCCGCCCCTCTGGTGGAGCTGTTGCGTCAGCCTAGAAATTCCAAATTAAGGAAAGTGGTTTCCTCCAGGCCTGGAAGATGTGGGGCAGTGGAGCGGCCGCCAGGAGGCAGCACTTCGTCAAGAATGTCCAGGCCGCGGGTGTCGGGGAGGTGGGAGTCTCTTGAGTCCAGAGCACCTTTCATCTGAAGATCTTAGCCGCAGCGCAGAACCTAACAAAAGAGGGGATTGCTGAACTCATTCCAGAAAAGGGATCTGGAAATGTTTCACCACGTTTTGAGGCTAAAATATGGCTTGTAAATAGTACAATTACCTTTTGTATACCGTTTGGACGACCCAGCTTTGGCATTTTTGAAAGCCAATGTTGCCTCTGCAAAGAGCCACAGAGAGCCACCCGCCTTCAAGGCCAGTCTAGTGGAAAGGCACAGAACTTAAGGGACTTCCCAGCCGCCAGGCAAGAAGGAAGAGTGTAGCCCGAGGTCATAATTTGTCCATCTTGAAGTTAGGTCATTTAACAAAGAATTTAGCCAGTACTGATTTAGCAGAGATTTGACAGGTCTGGGAAGAGAAGAGGATATATTACAATAAATTATGTAACTAGTAAGGAAATAATATTGCAAGTAGTGTATTGTGTGGGTGATTTATAGGCTTTAGTTCTCACATTTCTTGAGTGAGTTGACAGTGATTTGATCCTTGTGCTGTGCTAGAGAGGAAGATAATGAAAGAATCCCTGAACACTTCCCACTCCTCTCCACAACTTCTTCTTCTTAGAATTTTGTCACACGCATGCAAAAATGGGAAGAGGTTACAAAACGAAGTGGAATTGACTACCCAGAGTCAGCTTCACTTATGTTTCTTCTCCAACGTCATTATTAATCACAACCGTTAAAAGTCCCCTAATATTCCAGAGCAATCCACTTGTACAAAAGTAACTGCATAAATACAGACCCACAGAACAGAAGGATGTTAGACAAAAGCATGAGTGTATAACAAAATGTTAAAGCCAAATAAAATACAGAGTGTGATGCTCATGAAAGGCAAAGGAGTTTAAGAGAGGAACAACATGAAGCTCAGATGCCTGATGCTTCACATTGCTCTTAACTCCAGTCTTTGCCAGATGAAGTCCAGAGGTTAAAAGACATTCACTTTAGGGCGACAAAGCTGGTTTCCTGTGGCTTCTGAGGCTGATGAAGTCATTGGGGAGTGCTGTCCAGGTGCCAGACCCCCTCCCTCCAGCAGTGTTCTATGAGGTCTCTGAGAATGCTGATGATGTTAGTTGTCAGTGCTCTGTGTTTTCTCTTGGTCTCTCAAAATCCTAACCCATATTTCCTGCTATTTACTTCCCATGTATTGTCCCCCTGCCACATCACACTGACCACGTCAAAGGCTGAACTTGTCTTCCTTCCAAAGACCCTTCCCCTCCCAGATTTCCCAGTTCCAGTCAAACTTCCCATCCTCCAGCTCTGGATTCTTCACTCCCACAGCTATTAAATAATTGCACATGTCCACTTTTGCATGCTGCATTCATATTATACTCATTATTGGCAGGGCATGGTGGCTCACCTCTGTAATCCTAGCACTCTGGGAGGCCAAGGCGGGAGGATCGCTCAAGATCAGTAGTTTGAAACCAACCTGAGCAAGAGCGAGATCCTGTCTCTACTATAAACAGAAAGAAATTAATTGGCCAACTAAAAAATATATATAGATAGATAGATAGATAGATAGATAGATAGATAGATAGATAGATAGATAGTCGGGCATGGTGGTGCATGCCTGTAGTCCCAGCTACTTGGGAGGCTGAGGCAGAAGGATCACTTGAGCCCAGGAGTTTGAGGTTGCTGAGCTAAGCTCATGCCACGGCACTCTAGCCCAGGCAACAAAAGTGAGACTGTGTCTCAAAAAAGAAACATATTATACACATTATTTGTTCACCTAAATGCACGTGCCCTTTTCTATGACTTTGCAAAGGGACGGTGTCCCTCTTGTGTATGAACTACTAAAAGACAGGAGTGTTGCTGTTTCAATTCCTTTTTTTTTTTTAGACAGAGTCTCACTTTGTTGTCCAGGCTGGACTAAGTGCCGTAGTGTCAACCTATCTCACAGCAACCTCAAACTCCTGGGCTCAAGCAATCCTACTGCCTCAGCCTCCCAAGTAGCTGGGACTACAGGCATGCACCACCATGCCTGGCTAATTTTTTCTATATATATTAGTTGGCCAATTAATTTCTTTTCTATTTATAGTAGAGACGGGGGTCTTGCTCTTGCTCAGGCTGGTTTCAAACTCCTGACCTTGAGCAATCCGCCCACTTCGGCCTCCCAGAAAGCTAGGATTACAAGCGTGAGCCACAGCGCCTGGCCTCAATTCCTTTACATACTAATAGTATAGGTGGTAGTGCTAGTCTGTCATTTTTTTCTGTCCATCATGAATGTTGGCATTTAGGTTATTCTTTGAGCCTTTGGCTTCACTTGATTCCCCAATGGTAAACTATGGGATTCCAGTTCTGTCTACCTCAGCTGTCTAGATGGAAGATGTTTGGCAATGAACCATCTTTGGGACCAGCCAAAGGCTCAGAGAGCCAAAAAAGTCACTCAATCTTTATTCTGCCATTAATTATAAAACAATAAATCCATGCTGGGCATAGTGGCGCAAGCCTGTAATCCCAGGCTTTGGGAGGCTGAGGTAGAAGGATTGCTTGAGGCCAAGAGTTCCAGAGCAGCCTGGGCAACATAGCGAGAACCCATCTCTACCCTCACCCCAACCCAAAATAAATGAATAAATCCACAGCCAAATTTAGGTTCAATTTCCTGATCCCCAAAAGCTACAAGCAATCTGTGTAATGATTGCTTCCTGAGCTGTCTTATCTACTTTACAGGTTTATTATGAAAATCATATGAAATCATTTATGTAGAAGTGTTTTGACAAGTTAAAACGAAGTGTATGAACGTACAATAGTAGTGGTTCTCTTTGCCTTATTTCCCTTGCTTATTTTTTTAGTCCATCTGTTGGCTTCTAGCCAAGTTTCTTTTGTTCCTATCCCTCTTCTTGTTTAGGGATAGCCTATACCATTCTTCTTGTTATCAAAATAGCTGCTTTTACTTCTTAAACCAGGATCCACCCTTCCCCTCTTTCAAAGCACAACTCAGAACCACCTCCTGTGGAAAAACTTCCCAGTCTTGCAGAAGGAAATGATAAACTTCCAGATAGAGGTTCCTCTAGTCAGCATATGTTTAAGTGTCTAGCCTAGAATACAGTAATGGGCTCTTATGTAGGAGGTTCACCATTTATAAAGCACTTTCACTCACATTATCATCCTTGAAATATTTTCATAAATATAATATACCAAGTTAAAAAAGAAGAATAAGAAGAAGAAATTATTAAGGCTAGGCCAGGCATGGTGTCTTGCTCCTATAATCCCAGTACTTTGGGAGGCCAAGAAAAGAGGACCACTTGAAGCTAGGAATTCAAGAGCACCTTGGCAACATAGTGAGACCCTGTCACTACAAAATATACAAAAAAGTAAAAAGACACCAGGTGCAGTGGCTCACTCCTATAATCCTAGCACTCTGGGAGGCCAAGGCAGGAGAATCACTCAAGGTCAAGAGTTCAAAACCAGCCTGAGCAAAAGTGAGACCCCTGTCTCTACTAAAAATAGAAAGAAATTATCTGGACAACTAACAATATGTATATATAAAAAAAATTAGCCAGACATGGTGGTGCATGCCTATAGTCCCAGCTACTCTGTAGGCTGAGGCAGAAGGATCGCTTGAGCCCAGGAATTTGAGGTTGCTGTGAGCTAGGCTGACCCCACACACTCTAGCCTGGGTAATAGAGCCAGACTTTGTCTCAAAAAAAAAAAAAAAAGACATTAAAGATAAATGACTTCTCTAAGGCAATACTGAATAGCATGTGATAAAAGGAGGAAAAGGGTCACAGATCAGTGTTTGCCACTTACTATTAGTAGCTGCTTCACAAGGTTATTGCAAAGATTATGTTAGGTGATGTGTGGTGGTAGTGCCTATAAAAATGGAGTTAGATCTTAACTCCAATACACCTTCCTCAAGAAAGTAGTCTTTGGCTGGGCGCAGTGGCTTACACCTGTAATCCTAACACTCTGGGAGGCCAAGGCGGGCAGATTGCTCGAGGTCAGGAGTTTGAAACCAGCCTGAGCAAGAGCGAGACCCTGTCTCTACTATAAATAGAAAGAAATTAAACAGCCAACTAATATATATATATATAGAAAAAAATTAGCCAGGCATGGTGGCACATGCCTGTAGTCCCAGCCACTCGGGAGGCTGAGGCAGGAGGATTGCTTGAGCCCCAGGAGTTTGAGGTTGCTGTGAGCTAGGCTGACACCACGGCACTCACTCTAGCCTGGGCAACAAAGTGAGACTCTGTCTCAAAAAAAAAAGAAAGTAGTCTTTGATAGCCCACTCTAGATCAAATTCCCATTATATGCTCACAAACAACGTGTACTTCCCTTCCCAGCACTCGGCTGTAATATTTCAATAATGTATGTGATTATTTTATTTTTGTATTCTCTCTCTTTTAGACTGAAAGCTCTATCAGGATAGTAAAGATGTCTATTTTTGCTCTGCATAGACTCTCCTGTGCCTAATACAGTGCTTGTAATATGTAATTTCTTCAATTTTGTTGGGTAAATGAGTGAGATGTGAACCCTAAAATTTCTGATTCATTCTAGATTTTTTTTTCTTTGAGACAGAGTCTGACTCTGTAGCCCAGGTTAGAGTGCTGTGGGGTCAGCCTAGCTCACAGCAACCTCAAACTCCTGGGCTCAAGCGATCCTCCTGCCTCAGCCTCCCCAGTAGCTGGGACTACAGGCATGTGCCATCATGCCCAGCTAATTTTTTCTCTATATTTTTAGTTGGGCAATTAATTTCTTTGTATTTTTAGTAGAGACGGGGGTCTTGCTCTTGCTCAGGCTGGTTTCGAACTCCTGGCCTTGAGCAATCCGCCGGCCTTGGCCTTCCAGAGTGCTAGGATTACAGGCCTGGCCTATATATTTTTAATTGTCCGGTTAAGTTCTTCCTATTTTTAGGTAGAGACAGGGACTCACTCTTGCTCAGGTTACTCTTAAACTCATGACCTCGAGCAATCTTCCCACCTCAGCCTCTCAGGGTGCTAGGATTACAGGCGTCAGCCACCACGCCCAGCCTGATTCACTCTAGATTTGATCACTTCCTTTAGTCTGGGAAAAATATGTTACAGTTATGTGGGAGGCTGCAGAATGAAGTAATGTGGATGTTCCTTCTCTGAGATCAAAGTTACTATCAATTTCAGCGGACTACAGACCACTGTGGGGAGGTTGTGGAGACAGTTCAGAACGGTTCAGTCCGGGAAGACACGATTTCCACTGAGGACGCAACCATCATTGAAGATGCATGCGCAGAACAACAGTTCTTTCTCGCCCCAAGAACTCGGGTCCCAGTTTTATTCCTGACTTCCGTACAATGACCCAAGATGGCGCGGCCCATGATTGAAAGGCAGATTCAAGATGGCGGTTTCCGGCTTCCCCTGCCGCGACGCGCGTGGCCGCCGAGGCCACGCCCACTTCCGTCTACTCCGTCTCAGCATGGCTGCTTTAGGAACTGTGCTCTCCAGTGAGTGGGTGTAGGGTCGGTGGACTTGGGAGCCCGTGGGGGTCGGGTCCGGGACGCCGGACCGGCTGCGCGGTCTCTCCCCCAACTGTGCCCCATTTTCCCAGCAGGTGTCCGGAGGCTGCACCGCAGCGCGGCGGCTTGGGCGGGCAGCCAGTGGCGACTCCAGTGAGTGCTGGGCTAGGGGAATCTGGGGGACCAGAAGCTGGGCCAGGTCCTCATGGAACTGTTTTTCTCCACCCAGGCAGGGCCTGGCTGCCAACCCCTCCGGCTATGGGCCCCTTACGGAACTCCCAGACTGGTCATATGCGGGTGAGCGCTGATCTGACAGTTAACTCTAATTCAGATTTTCCCCTGGACTGGGGGGCGGGGATGTCAAGGTGGGGGCGTGTCTGGAAAACGTATTGAACTTTTTATTTGGAAAACGGAGTCTGGGGAAAGAAGCCCTCTTGTGTATTTTTTGAAGTAAGCTTCGAGTAAGGAAGGTAAACCTAGAGGGGATCTTGGCTTTTGGAAATAAGTAGAAGATAATTCTGACTTGGGGCACCCCGGGGTGGGAGGGAGTGACGAGTTCTACGTTTCTTAAAGGGAAACATGGTTTTTAAAAAGTTAGGAAGTGGCTGGGCGTGGTGGCTCACGCCTGTAATCCTAGCATTCTGGGAGACCGAGGCGGGAGGGTCGCTCAAGGTCAGGAGTTCAAAACCAGCCTGAGCAAGACGCCAGCCGTCTCTACTAAAAACAGAAAGAAATTAACTGGACAACTAAAAATTTATAGAAAAAAAATTAGCCGGGCATGGTGATGCGTGCCTGTAGTCCCAGCTACTTGGGAGGTTGAGGCAGAAGGATTGCTTGAGCCCAGGAGTTTGAGGTTGCTGTGAGCTAGGCTGACACCCCAGCACTCTAGCCCAGGCAACACAGTGAGTGAGACTCTGTCTCAAAAAAAAGTTAGGAAGTGCCACCCTTCTGTGTAGTGAGTACATTTTGAGAATTCGGTACCTAATGCAGGAAGAGGTCTTTGAATGGCTGTAGAAACGAGCATCTCAGAGGTACAGAAGGATGAAGAGTGAGGATGGCAGGCTCCCTTCAGAAAAATATTTTTCCTTTACTTAGAAAATAATAGGTATTAACCCTAGAAGGGAGAGATGGTAGCCACTCTCTTATGGGACTCCAGTTTATAAGGTAGGAAAATTGAGGCCTATGGAAGTGAATTTCCTGTGATCATGCAGCCAGGTAGTAGCAAAGCCAGAACTAGAACTGAGCAGGAGCTTGTCCTCCTTCACAACACAGGGACCTGAGTATTAATATCCTAGTGGTATTCTCTAGGACTTCGGTCCTCAACCCCAGAGCCACAGCCTGGTACTGGTCGAGTCAGTGGCCTATTAGGAACACTGATGCACATCACCACCTGAGGGCCCCTGCCATCTGAGGAAAAAATGTCTTCCATGAAACCAGTCCCTGGTGCCAAAAAGGTTGGGGACCACTGCTCTAGGAGTATGATCCTGCTTAATTGGATAACTGGTGCCTGAGGACAATGATGATTTTTTTCTATTTGTCATTTATCGTAAGAAGCCTTAGGATCTCCTTGTAGTAGTATGAAATATTGAAAAGACTCTGGAATTATATATCCCTGATTCTTTTTTTGGTTTTTGTGTGTGTGTGTGTGTGTGTGTGTGTGTTTTGAGACAGTCTCACTCTGTTGCCGAGTAGAGTACCATGGCGTCAGCCTAGCTCACAGCAACCTCAAACTCCTGGTCTCAGGGGATCCTCCTGCCTCAGCCTCCCGAGTAGCCGGGACTACAGGCACCTGCCATGACACCTGGCTAATTTTTCTGTTTTTAGTAGAGATGGGGGTCAATCTCACTTTGCTCAGGCTGGTCTCGAACTCCTGAACTCAAGGGATCCTCCTGCTTTGGCCTCCCAGAGTGCTAGGATTACAGGCATGACCTACTGCGTATAGCCTGTACCTGATTGTTAATCCAAGCTAACTTTGTGGTCTTAGATAATTTACTTAATTTTATCTGCTTCTTAGTTTCTACATCTGTAAATGAAGAATACCCGTCTCATATGGTTCATATAAGGATAAAGACAACCAATGTAAAGCACCTGGCATACACAACATTGTTTCCCTTTCCTGATAAATAATACCTCTTATCTGTCTTGTCTTCAAATTTTTGGATAGAGTTTTCACTGTTTCTTCCTTTCTTTATAGAAAATAAGTGCCCTTTCTTCTCATCTCCATATAAACTACTTGAGGTCAGATACCACATGTTTTCAGCAAGTCAACAGATATTTATGAATTTTTATTGCATGCTCTGTGCCTACTCTATACTATGAACAACAAGAACTCGCAATACAGTCTCTGATCCCAAGGAACTTGAAATTTGGCTGGGAAAACATGCACATTTTAAAGCATGGACACTTTTAAGTTATATAATAATATTTCAGTATTCTGCCCCATTCCAAAAGGATCTGGGATTCCTAAATAACACTAAAAACAATAGATGGTAAATGTTGCAGAGCCAACAGATGAATATTAAATGGTATGCACTTCCTTCAGAAGAGAGAGCTGACTGAGTTGAAGAGGTTAGACAAGGGTTTCTGCCAAACTTAGGGCTGAGTGGCCCTAGGGATGAGGATTTGGCTGGAAGGAAAGGAAAAGAAGGCATTTCATTGTGGAGTAGGATGGAATTTAGCAAAGACTTATACTGAGTAGAACAATGATCACATTGCTTGAGTTGAAGGGTTTCTGAAAATGAAAGTAGAGGCATTATAGCAGAGAACTTTGAATTCTGGGCTAATAACAGTTAAGTGAAATAGAGTAAGAACATTCCTAGGAGCTTATTCTTGGTGGGTCTGTCATAACTCACTCTTGAAGATGAGGGACATATTTTAGGATAATTAAGCTATAATGGGTATGAAATGGAAGAGAGGAGGTAGAGATTGGTTCTTCCCTCATTCCTATCACAATATTTGGACCAGGTGCTGCAGAGATGATCTCTTAACACTTGACTCTTCTCTCACTGCTATCTGTAGATGGTCGCCCTGCTCCCCCACTGAAAGGCCAGCTTCGGAGAAAAGCTGAAAGGGAGAAGTTTGCAGTAAGTGGCTAGTTCCCCAGCCAAGGTTACCTGTGTGTAATTGGAGGGACAATTCAAATCATAATTTATCTTGAATTGTGTTGCACCTAAGCTAACATGTACCACTCATACCAAGGTTTTAACAGCCACAGGTTTTTTGTTTGTTTGTTTTTTGTTTTGGTCTGCTTTTTGTGGGTTTTTTTTGGTCTTTGTTTTTTCCTTGAGACAGGAAACTCACTCTGTTGCCTTGGCTAGAGTGTAGTGGCATCATCATAGCTCACTGCAACCTCAAACTCCCAGGCTCAAGTGATCCTCCTGCCTCAGCCTCCTGAGTAGCTGGATTTACAGGTGTACACCACCACACCCTGCTAATTTTTTAATTTTTTATAGAGGCAGGGTCTCACTATGTTGCTCAGTCTGATCTTGATCTCCTGGCCTCAAGTAACCTTTCTTGAGGTTGCTCAGCCTCCTAAATTGCTCGGATTGCAGGCGTCAGCCACTGTGCCTGGCTCCAGCCAAAGGTTTTAATAGCCCTGTGAGAAGAGAGGAAGAGAGTGAGGCACTCGTAGGGCAGGAACCAATAGTAGACATTCTGCCTCACATTTTGCTGTCCCTCCTTCTGCTTCCCAAGCCAGGACTTGGTCCCACCTTTTCCCCAGTCAACAGTGTCGTTTTCCAGCTGAAACCCAAACCTCTGACTCTGTGAGTAAAAAGAATATATGATGCAGCACGTAAGCCCCATATGTTATCCACACTGTTTTCCTGTCTGTTTCAGAGACGAGTTGTACTGCTGTCGCAGGAAATGGATGCTGGATTACAGGCATGGCAGCTCAGGCAGCAGGAGAAGTTGCAGGAAGAAGAAAGGAAGCAGAAAAGTGCTCTTAAACCCAAAGGGGCTTCACTGCAGAGCCCACTTCCAAGTCAATAAAAAGCAAAATCTTGCCGACTTTTCCCAGCCTCTCCCTAGCTTTCTTTTCTATCACCTAGATGCTTCATCCCAGCCAGAAGAGAGCCTTTATGTTCCCCATCTGTCTTTAGGACAATAGATCTTGGACACCAGGAAGAACAGGCTATATGATCACTGCCTGGGAGGCTTGGCTTAGTGCCCTCACCCATGCCTCCACTCCAGTTCAGCTGAATCTTGCTCTAGGCTTTTTTTACTCCCTTCTTTGCAGGCCATAGCACTGGCCCAACTATAAGCAGTAGCTGTTCTGTAAACATGACAAGGGGACAGTAGTTTTTCTGGTTTTAGCCAAGCACTCAAGCCTTTAATAGCCCATACCCAGCCTAGGCCATGTGCAGTTGGCATCTAATGTTTTGATGAAAAAGGCTTTCTAGCTGATGTCTTTTTCTTGGCAAGCAACTGGTGGCAGTTTTCCTAAGGTTTAGATATGTGGTCCCAGAGGATGTCTCCACTGGGAAGGCTGATGTGGGAAGAACCAGATGTGAGTGTTGCATGTTCTGCTGAAAGAGATGGGTTATGAAGTCTCCATGGTTCTGACTGCATTCCAGAGTTTGGCTGAAGAGGGACCTATACCTCCCTGCCCATTTGCATAGGGGAGCCCTATAGAAGGGCTCAGCCCTCAAACAGTCACTGTAGGATAGGTATCTAATAACTACCATATACCTCCCACAAACCTGAAAGCTGCCCAGGACTTGGAAAGCCTTCCATTTTATTGATCATGGCTCCTCCCATGAATTCCAGGGGCAAAGGGCCTTTGTTCCCATTCTGATACAGAGTAGGATAGTTCCCTAGTTCCCCAATCCCTTGACTTTCTGAAGTTTCCTACCTGACTTAATTTCTGTCCACCCTCCTTTATTCCTTCCCTTGCTTTCTTGCCCTCCTTCCCTCCCCCTACTACCTCCTTCCTCTCTAACCGACCAAATGCAATTTTTAAATCTTAGATTTTGCTGATGGTCGAGTTTTTTGTCTCCCACACTTTTCCTGCTTCTGTTGTGCTGCTTTTCTAGATCTGGTTCTCAACCTCTTATCTGTCTCCCTTTCTCACTGCCTGCCCTCCCCCTTCCCTGCATACCCCCCACCTTTTGTTCTCAGAGTCAAGTAAATCCCTGAAGGGGGTAGATTTTACTTTTTAAGGAATTGCCTCCATTTCCAGTGTAGAGGTGGAACTAAATCCCAAAGTCTTAACTCCCAGTCCCTTGTTTTCCAACAATTTCACCAAACTTGATTTGCTTTTCCCTATATTCCATGGCCTTGCACCCCTTTCCTGCCCAGCCAGTTCTAATTTAAGGAGTAGCCAGATTACAAACGACAATAATAAAAAGGAGCACATTAGTCTTTATACAAAGATGGACCCCCAGATCCAGTGTGGTTGTGAGGTTTGTTACAGTTTAGATTTTTTGGCAGTAGAGGGAAGGACAGAGATGGTTGTCTACAAGTCCCAGCAGATAATCCGCCAGCTTCTAATAAACTGGCCCCTTCTCCCAATCCAGGTCTCCTGGACATGGAAGAACCCACCACCACCACTATCCCAGACCCTGAGCTCCTTTTTGGCCCTAGGCACTGAGCCTCCTAGTACTTCCCACTCTGAGGTGAGACAAATGCTGAATACCAGAAGAATCAAACCACCCAAAATATGCTTAGGTGGGAAAAGTCTCCCACATCCCGACCCCTGGATCCCCCTACAGCACACTGCTGTCGGCTGTGGCTTCAGCCCCTGCAGATGGCAGTCTGCACCACAGAACGGCAACTTAGGGGTTTTTGGAGGGTTTTTTTTTGTTTTTTTTCTCTAGCTCTTGGCTGTAATTGGATTCAGGCTGAAACAACCACGTCCCCAACCAGGAAAGGAGGCGGGGGCGGAGGAGAGGCTGTGGGAGAAGGGAGGGACCAAAGAAGAGAGAGAGAGAGGGATCCCGACCCAGTTCGCCGACTAAGCAGAAGAAAGCCCAAAAAACGGAAAAGAGGAGAAGAGCAAACAGGCACTTTCAAGAACAATCCTCTCAACTCCAAGGCGACTGCGCTCTAGGAATCCAAAATCAGTGCCTACAGAAGACAAAGGCGCCCCGAGCGAGTGGCGGCGCGACCCTAGGGCGTGGGCCCCGCCGCGGAGCCCGCACGGCCCCGCAGCCCCGACGGTCGCAAACCATGTCTCCCGCCCCACGACCCTCCCGCAGTCTCCTGCTCCCCCTGCTCACGCTCGGCACCGCACTCTCCTCCCTCGGCTCGGCCCAAAGCAGCAGCTTCAGCCCCGAAGTAAGTGAGCTCCTCCGGCCTTTCCCGGAGTCGCGCCCTCCCGGGAGGCGAGCCCGGGGTCTCCCTGGGGACGACCCCCATTCGGAGAGGAGGGATCTAGGCTGCTCGGGCCTGCAGGATCCATCCCGCTCCCCTTCTTTTTCCTCCTCTTCTCCAAACTTCCAAATCGATCCCAAATTTTGCCTGCCTTCAACCAACTCCCCTCACACTCTTCGCCGCCGACTCTTTCCCATTCCTTCCTTTCCTTGGAAGAACTTTACAGCTGGGACCGACTCCCTCCCCATTTCCCTTGGGCTCTGCGCTCAGCTTTGGGAGCCTGATAAACATTTGGATTCGGCTCAAACTCCGTGCTGTCCTGGTTCCTTATCATGTGCAAGAGTTTGTTGTTTCTTCAACTTTCCTGCTCTCCGGCGCTCTCCTGCCCGCGCTCGCCGCGAGCCGGGCTCAGCGCGCCCTCCGCTGGGCGCTTCAGCTGCTCGGGCCCCCCACGCCTCGGCCTCCCCGGGCGGCCCAGGCCCTCCACCGATGCGTCTGCGGCCAGGTGGGGTAGAGGGTGGACGGCCGAGCGGCCCGGGCCCCCACCCCTCGTCCCCGAGAGGACTTCTCTGTGGCTCAGCCCGGGGCCCCGGCGTCTAGGGTCGCAGCGCCAGCGCGCTGGCCGCGTTTCCGTACACACAAAGCTCTCCTTGTGAGCCGATTGCTCGGCCTGGCCGCCGCCCCCACGTCCCCACCTCCGTCGGCGCCCTCGAGCCTTTCTTGTTGCTGTTGTTAATTGCTTTTTTGTGTTAATTGCAGGGAGACTGGGGGCGTCGCACGGGGAGTGGGGAGAGGGCCTAGCCCAGGGCGCCCTCACACGTCGCGACTGACGGGCGCCCCCCACCCCCACCCCTTCCCTGACGGTGGCCCACCGGGCCCAAGAGGAAGCCGCGTGGGAGTTGTCTGAGGAGGTTTTTCCTCTCTGTCTTTTATTTTGGGGTGAAGGTGGGAGACAGATTTAATGAGCTTCTTATTTTGGGCCATCCCAACCCACTCAGCTGGGCAAGGGCCCGGGTGCGGTCGGGAGGGGCCGGGAAGGGTCCAAGATGGGTCCAAGATGGGGGATGGGATCTGCATTTGGTTTCCTCTGCTCTGGTCCCATCCGGGGAGAAAACCTCTCTAGAAAGAATGCGCTCTCTCTGTCCCTGAAAGGATCTGGGGCTGAATGGAAAATTATGGCTCTGGCATTGGAGGTGGGAGACCCATTGCGGTGTGCTCAGAGACCAGTGAGAGTGAAAATCTGCCCTAGGGCTGGGGGCTAAACCTGACTGTCAGGGAGAAGAAGTCATCCTCTTCCCAGGCCTGGAGTCTTCATCTGAGGCCTGAAAAGGAGAGCCCCTAACAAAAGGAGCCTGGGCATCTGGGAGGCTGCCCACTGCCAACTTCACTGCCCTGCCTTTTTTCCCTCCCCTGCCCTGCTAGGCCCCCTAGGGGAGGGGCGGCAGCCCTGGCTCTGTTTTAAGTGGGTCATGGGCGGTCCCAGTGCCAGAACCACCATTTGCTTCTGGGCCATGTGAGGGTGGGAGCCAGAGGGAGGGAGGAACAGGCCCAGAGGATAGGATCCAGGGCCTGCCGGAGAGCTGGAGATGCCCCCACCCTGTTCAGAACTCCTAAGCAAGGTGGGAGGTGTTCCTTGACTTTCTCCTAGGGGAATACCTTGCATCTCTCACTCATCAAGACCAGGCCAGCCAACTGAGTTCTTTGACCCAACATAGTTGCTCCTTCTCCGGGCCAATCTGGAAGGAAAGCTGGTGTGGTGCAGGCCTCAGGCAGTTGGGTCCCTCCCACCAGGCCTCCAGAGTGCTGCACCAGCTCCAGGACAGCCCTGCCCTCCCCTCAGCCTGTCTGGCGCTGGGCCCTTCCTCCTACCCAGCCGCAGACACAAGAGTCCTCTCTTCTGTGGTTTCGACCTCATAGTCTCTGTAAGGGAAGAAACTTGCCTAGGCCTGGAGGAAGAGAGGGATGGGCATACTTCCTTTCCAGGGCTTGTGGCTCTCTTGACTCCCGGGAAGTCCCTTACTTGACTAAGCCTTCATTCTTCTTTATAGGGTATGGTGTGGAGGTTGTGGGTGTGAATATTTAGACCTGCCTACCTTCTTGAAGGACTTATGGGAGAGGGATTTATCCCTGAGCTCCTGGATATGGATTCCCAAGTCGTAAAAATAGCTGTTCCCCCACCAGGGGTCATAAGCTTGGGGTGTATGTGTTTATCCTACAGGTGAGGCTGGGGGCAAAGGGAGTTTCCTGCATACTTAGGCACAGGCCACAGCAGGCCTCCCCCAGGCACTGGCTGTGGCATCAGCCAGCACAGGTCAGGGCAAGCCTACAGCTCCCAAAGAGCAGCCTGGGACTGCAGCACCCTATCCTGCCTGGCTCCCCTCTAGTACACCAGAGGTTAAACTTCTCTCCTTCCTCTACCACTGAGGAGGGGTTCTCAGAGCCTCAGAGCTGGGTGGTACTAGGGCTGTTCTTGCCAAGCCTGTTGGCTGGGAAAAGGCTGGGTTGTTTACATCTGGGGCCCTAACTCCTGTCAACCTTGGGGGATCACTTCCCAGAACCATGTTGCAATTCTTGCCCCTATGGGCTCAGGTCCCCAGTCAGCTGCTCCTGAGTCACCCCCAACTCTCATGCAAGAGCACTGCTCCATCACCAGGGAAGGGCTACATGGAGATCCATCCTAATGACCTTGAATAGGGGATGC